TTTTCCTTATTATTTGTGGATTTTGCCTTTTTAGGGCACGTAACATGCTCTGCCTCTAAAACACAAACATGAAACTGATTTAACTTTTCATAATAGACTCAGTTCAAATAGGGTTCAGGTTGGGGAGAGCAATTCCTGCTCAGGTAACACTTACCCCATTGTCTGACCAGACTTTGGCTGTGCCTACAGTTTGTGATCATACATTATTAAGTGTACCCCACCCTTTGCATCCGCTCTGCAGATATTACGTAAGGAATAGGATAGCAGTGCTGTGACCGACTGCACATCCAATACCCTGCCGAGTGCATGCACACCCTGGGAGCATTGATGCATCCAGTCCCTGCAGACTTCGCAGAGTGTGGATTGGCGTTTAGAGAGGCGGCCAGGCTGGGGCCAAGCAGAATTTGCTGCCCAGAGTCAAGATCTGCTTGCTTATCTGCTGCTTCTCATCCCACAACCCAGAAAGATTCCCCTGAGATGTGCAAAGAGCAGACTGGAACTTGAGCAGGAAAAATAATGAGGTCTTAGTCCTGGGTTTATTCAGCAAACAGACCTTGATTACTCACTGTGGGCCAGCACCTGGGTTCCTTCTTGGGCTTGATGGCCTTGTCTGTGCCAGGGGACACTGATCCAGATGACCTACACTGGAGCCCTCCTAAGTTCTTCTGGGAGCTTAGCATGTGCCAGTAGACAGCAGGAGAGCATCATCCAGCTCACTCAGCCCTCCCCCTGTCTCCCCGTAACTCACCCTTTCAAATAAAGAAATCTTAAACTGTTTGATCTTGTCAGAAAGGCGACAGTAAAACTTATTAAATAGAAGGAGACAATTTTTCATTTGTAGGATATCTTCTTGTGGGGGTGTGTAATAGGGCACAGAGGTTAAGCCACGCCTTGAGACACTTGGATCTTTTCTCGGAGTGCCAGTTTGAGTCTTGGATACTTGCTTCTGATCCAGCTCCCGGCCAATGCACCTGAGAGGGTGTAGACCACGGCTCAAGTACTTGGGGCCCTGCCACCCATGTGGGCACCTGGATGGAGTTTCTGGCTCTGGTTATTGTGGCCATTTGTAGAGTGAACCAGCTGGATATGCCCTCTCCTTGTTTCTCTTCCCCACTCCCATCTCCCTGTCACTCTGCCTTTCAAATGTATGATTTTTTTCTAAAGGTTTTCTCATTTTTTGAAAATTTATTATTTATTTGAAAGTCAGAGTTACACACAGAGAGAAGGAGAGGCAGAGAGAGAGAGGGAGAGAGAGAGGGAGGGAGGGAGGGAGGGAGGGAGGGAGGGAAGGAGAGATCTTCCATCCACTGGTTCACTCCCCAGTTGGCCACAATGGCTGGAGCTGCGCCAATCCAGAGCCAGGAGCCATGAGCTTCTTCTGGGTCTCCCATGCAGGTGCAGGGGCCCAAGGGCTTGGGCCATTTTCCATTGCTATCCCAAGCCACAGTAGAGAGCTGGATTGGAAGTGAAGCAGCCGGGACTAGAACTGGCACCCATATAGGATGCTGGCACTGCAGGCGGCGTCTTTACCTGCTACACCACAGTGCCGGCCCCTCTCCTTTTTCTTTACAGGAATGTCAAGTAGCTTATCTGTAGTCACACAGTGAATATATTAAGAGAAACATTACTTCAGTTTGGGAAGTTTCGGTTACTCTAAGTGAAAGTGATTGGATGACCTTTAATACCATTGAAAATATCTTAAATAGCACAATTAAGGAGGGACCAGGAGGCAATTTATATGTACCCTATTAGAACTGGAGGAATGATCTGGTTCACTTAACACATTTTGAAATGCATCAACTTTTTCCACCAGTATTTGTAGTCACTTTTTATTTAAAAGTCAAGAGTGTATTGTGGGGCTGGCATTGTGGTGTAGTAGGTTAAGCCTCCACCTGCAGCGCCGGCATCCCATGTGGGTGCCAGTTCGAATCCTGGCTGCTCCACTTCCGATCCAGCTCTGTTAATGAGCCTGGGAAAGCAACAGATGATGGCCCAGGTAATTGGGCCCCTACACCCACCTGGGAGACCCAGGGGAAGCTCTGTGCTCCAGGCTTTGTCCTGGCCTGGCCCTAGCCATTTGTGGCCATTTGGGGAATGAACCAGCAGATGGAAGATTCTCTCTTTCTCTCTCTCTCCTTCTCTAACTCTTTCAAATAAAAAAAAAAAAAACTTACAGAGAATAAACTCATGCTGGGAATTGTCACCCACAGTCTGTCTCCATGAGAAAGGTGTCGTGTTGTAAGAAACCACCAGGGCCGGCGCCGCGGCTCACTAGGCTAATCCTCCGCCTTGCGGCGCCAGCACACCGAGTTCTAGTCCCGGTCAGGGTGCCGGATTCTGTCCCGGTTGCCCCTCTTCCAGGCCAGCTCTCTGCCGTGACCCGGGAGTGCAGTGGAGGATGGCCCAGGTGCTTGGGCCCTGCACCCGCATGGGAGACCAGGAGGAAGCACCTGGCTCCTGGCTTTGGATCAGCGTGGTGCGCTGGCCGCAGCGGACATTCTGGGGTGAACCAACGGAAGGAAGACCTTTCTCTCTGTCTCTCTCTCACTGTCCACTCTGCCTGTCAAAAAAAAAAAAAACAAAATAAAACAAAAACAAAAACAAAAACACTACCAGAAGAGAGCTTGACGTGGGAACCGCTCTGCATAGTGGTCAAATGGACCTATTTTCCTGCCTGGCCATTTGCCTTTTTTTTTTTGTAAAGCCAGGCCAGTGTTTTTTCATGCCTGCGTCTGCATTGACTGTCCCCTAAGCAAACTGGGAGGAGGGGTCAGCAAGGACCCAAGCAACCCCACACAGGAGGCTCAGACGCGCTGGAGCCTCTGCCAGGAAGCCCCCCAGCCACGCGAGTACCAACGGCCTCACTCTGCTGCGACTCAGGCCTGGGGCGAGGGCAGACGCAGAAAGGGAATGCAACACAGGAGAGAGCACACACAGGTTCTCAGCCATGTGCATTTTGAACAATTTTTTTACCACAGAGAGAAGCTCCCACTGCTTTTCAGTCAATTCAGGCACGTGAGCCTCAGACCAGCAGTTCAACTATCACTCTGCAGTCTTGCAAAATTGAGCGGTATTAGCTCCCTAAATTCCTTATGGCCATGATTATTAAATAAAAGTGTTCAATAGGAGAAAATAACCACCGAATGTTTCGAGTAAGTCGCGAGGGCCCTCTGCTTTATCAATTCTCTGCTTGCTACGTGGTGTAGTTTTGCACAGAAGATGAAATTAGTGCCGCCACCTGCAGGTGCTTCCCCTGATGCTCCATCTGAATGCTAGCACCAAGGGAAAAAATTATTGGGAGAAACAATTATTGGGAAAAAAATGAGAAGAGGCATTTGGCATAATCGCATAATCAATCCTGAGTCACAGACGTCACATCATAATCCCATGACCAAATCCCATCTCAGTATTAACGTCTACACAGCAGCTCTAGGCCTGTAGCTCTATTACTTGCAAGCGCTGTGCCTCTCTTCAAAGCAAGCCTACACTTTCGAAGAATATGAATTTACAATTACAATGAAGTGCACTATCAAGGTACTTAAAGAAGTGGGACAACCTAAGCTCACTGCAGTGGATCCAAGACTCATTCTCACACCTTGCAGGGAAACCCTCTGCCCGAATCTGCACAGTAGATGGGGCAGGATTTTCCTTGCTGACATGACTGGAATTGGACTTAGCAGAGTAATTCCTGTTTTCACAGTATCACTCCCCTGCATCTGTGTGCTAATGATGCCCACGGCCCAAGTTCATTTTACACTGGACTGAACACTGGTATTGTGCCCAATGACCAGGTGTTACCATTTTGGCTGAACTGAATGCTGTGCCTAGAAGCTAAAAGAAAGTAATTGCTCATTAGAAATCTCTAAATATCGGCTTTGAGAAGCAGCTTTCCTTCTTCTATATACATTAAGGAAGCAGCTGAGTCAGCAGCTTACAAGTACTATTTATGATAATGTATTTTTTTTTTCATGGTTCAGCAGGGAAAAAAAATAAAGCTGTTGGGAGCAAAAGAAATTGAAAGATGCACCTAAAATAGCTAGCCAGACACATTGCAAATTCCCTTTCAGTAGTCATAATACATACAGAACACTCTGAGCTAGTTTTACACTATACTTTGCCTTTCATAAGTCAGACTTCTTACCAGCAAATGCTGTTTTCTGAGACTACACTTTTGACCTTGAAGATCGAACTTTGTGTTTTAGGTCTCTTGCAAACTTAACCATGCCTCTGGTCCCCAAACTGAGTTCATCTAAAAGTACTATCATCCCATGGTTATTAAATTCTGCACTTCTCATCTGAATCATTCAGCAAACAAGGCCAAGAGGGCAAGACACAGCTCCCTGAGAACTGTCTTTTCTTGTTGCATAAGTCTCCCGGCTGTCTCCATGCAGGGTGTCCCTCTGAAGCCGGGGTGCAGGAAACAGCTGCATTGCACTGCAGCTCCAATCTGGCTACTGCACTCGGCTCAGGACTCAGCCGAGCTGGAAGAAATAGGCAGGTGCAAGACAGCTTCCTCTGTGGGAACTAGAGTTTCTCCAGAAGAGATCCTAACAGGGTAAGTTACTTTTCCTGGACCATCCTTGTTTGATTTTTCACTCCAGTTGCATCGTGAATGATTATTGAGGTCATTCTGGTAGAATAACTGAACATTCAAAGTTTCACTTCTTATTTTTTCCCTCCGTCTTGCATTTAAATGAACACTGTGCCTTCCATTCTACTCAAAGACAGCAACTGCACTAAAGAAAAAATCCTTGAACTTGGCTGCATCAATTCACTGCAGTCAGACACCCCTAAGACTTTCCACTTTCATCGTCCCCAAGCCTGAAGCTGACGGTCATGCAATAGCATTCACAAGTCAGGGAGCAGGTTCACCACGGAGCAGAAGGGCAAAGAAAAAGTCAATGCAGCAGCATCCCGATGAAGAAACACTAACCTAGCATCTCACCTCTGAGACACTTGCAGTGAGCTTGACTTTCCCAAGAGAGGCCGTGTTCTCTTACCTTGGATGTGAATCACTCTGTCATGGCCCAGGGTGTAGTTGTTCGACTGATGATCAGCCCAGCAGATGGAAATCAGCACCAGAAAAAGTAAACTCTTCATCCTCAGAGCCCCAGGAATCTTCCTCACTGGGAGAGCATCAGAGAGAGAGGCGTGTGAGACCTGCAGTCCTCGGGAGTGTTGCACTGCACAACTTATTACCGCCTCATCATCAGAGAATGGTCTGTAAAAATATTTAACCCGATCTGTCCAGAAAGTTACTGTAGCTGTGAGAGATGAAGACGGCAGCTTTCTACAATTCCGGTTCCCCTTCTGTAGCCAGAGTCCAAACAGTGTTTAACTCTATCTTTGCAGAACTGAAAACCCGGAAATTTAAAGCTCTGTGGTCTCACTAATACGGAGTGGCAGCAAGTTACAAAGAGAGGTGGCCAGGACATTGCTTCGCTCTTAAACTCTGACTTGAAGTTAATAAAAGAGCAGTTTGATCTTTCTAGATAGGAATACTTATCACCCAAATTCAGAACTGAATCTTAGACCAGGGCGCATAAAGAACCTTTGCATGAACCCTGACATCATTCATTTATTTTACATGTGGCTTCTCTAAGCAGGCACACACACACACACACACACACACACTCACACACACTCAGCTGAGCCAAAGCAGCCGGTTGTTGGATCCACTTACCATCTTACACACTGCGTGGCTTGCTGAGTAGTTGAACATTAGGGACAAACCAGGTTAGACTTGTGCATGCAGCCTCTGCAGTCATGCTGATGGATTTTTCATTCATTGTCACACCGGCCCCGCGTGCCAGGTAGGGTCTCTGCAGTCAGCAGCGCCCAGGCTGCAGGGGCTGCACTTGCCAGCCTCACAGGGCAATTACCAAATGAAGAGCTGCGACACAGGGACAAGGAGGAGCGGCTCCGGTCCCCAGGGAAGGAGGCAGAGGCATCCCTTGCTTGTCCTTGACCGCAGGCCAGCTTGAGAGGACACAGCTCTACCCCAGAAACTTGGTCGTTTGCTGCATTTCCCTGGCAGGAACCCGAGCGTGGTGCCTCATGGAAGCCAACGCGCTTCTCCCGTGCACACGGCAGCCTTACTAGCGCTGGCTATTTTTAAAACTGAAGTTGCACAGGGCTGCCTTCTTACACTCATGTGTCTTTTGCAGGAAGCCTCTGCACCAGTGTTCCCCCAGTCTTTCCTGGGACAAAAGCACCCTCCAGCAAGTGCCCCTGGAAAACCTGCATTGCTGAGCTGCTTCGGGCTTTAACCTTTACATACATAAAGACTTATTTTGTTGATTTGCAAGGCAGAATTACAGAGAGGAGAAGCAGGGAGAAAGGGATCTTTGATTTGCCGGTTCACTCCCCAAGTGGCCTCAGGCTTCCTTGTGGTCTTCCACATGGGTGCAGGGCCCACACACGTGGGCCATCTGCAGCTTTTCCAGGCACATTAGCTGGATGCGAAGCGGAGAGCGGGGACTTGAACTGGCGCTCATAGGGGACACGGGCACTACAGACACTGATTGAACCCACTGCACCACAGCGCTGGCCCCAGGGCTGCAGCTTTTCATATTGGCTTTTCTATACCTTTGTGTTTTCTTCATTATGTCACAGAATGATAATGGTGGGTTAGCACATCGTGAAACTTAGATGTCCAGGAACCAGGAGTGTGACCGCCACAGTTCTGCTGGATTCACTAATCCTATTTTCATAAGTTTACCTTCTTGTTTCTCTGAGTTTTTTTTTTTTTTTTTTAATGATTAGTATTTTGTCGTCCTGGTCATTTGCTCCTAGGATCACAATTAACTCCTATTACCTATTTTTGGCCCAGAACTGGCTTGGGTGAAGACCTCTAAGGAAGGTGACCTTCCAGAATTTGGAATATAGCCTAGCTAATTGCATGAATACACAAACATGGAAAAATAGACCAGCAGCCACAGAGATGCGACACGCTCTGTTTGCCAGGAATCAGAGAGGTGGCAGGATGCTGAGAATGGAGATTATAATGACCTGACATAGAGGCAGGCGGCATTCTAGACGGATGGCCCAGATGAGCAACAGCAGAGAACGCACTGGGTTAACTTCCATGTTACTGTGGCCATCTAGGGAGTTGGGCTCACACGTACACACAAGCTGAAGGTTGTGTAGTGCAGACACATACAGGGAGTTGTATAGACACCCACATAGGTGTCACACACACACACACGGTTAGAGTTGTGTATTTTACTGTAGCAGTCTCCTTGACCATCACTCTTTTTACCTATGTTGCACATGTACCTGAGTATCCCTTTAATTCCATACCACAGCATTCAAAATCACACCACCAAGGTGTAATTCCAAAGGTATCAACAGCTCAGATTTAAAATGCAAATGCCTGGAGTGTGGATGCATCGGAGGGGTTGATAATGACAACAGCAGCCGTTCCATCAAGCCGAAGGCCTGGCAGGTGCCGAGTTCCATGCCGCCGAGCGTTTGGCCCAGCGGGGCTCCTACTTCCACTTCCCCTGACGCAGCAGCTGTGCTTGAGGGCACACAGGCAGTTCACGCCAGGGTAGGATTTGCCTTCAGGCAAGAGCAGCATCTACTTTAAGTTGCACTTATTTCTCCGATAAATTTGTTATTTGTTTTGTTACCTTTAGTTCAGTTTCTTTACCATAACACTTTGAATTGAGAACAACATGTATGTCTACATAAATGAAAAGCCAGCACTTTTTTCTTAAACATGATTGTGCCAGGCCATTGATAATACCATCCCGGTGCCATGAACACAGCCTTGGTGGTGCCCATGTATGCACACATATAGACACGTACACCACAGGTCTTCAAACTCTTCAAAGAAAATGCATATTATAAAAAAAACTACATATTCATTTAAAAAAACGGCAGCAACATCTTTTAGTTTCATTTCCCATACTTTTCAAAGTACCCTTGTATCTTGTACAAGTCAAGCCTTTTGCACACCTGCAGTGGCACATGAATAGAACCTAGAGAGGTATCTGTATGCCCCCGAGTATCACACACTGAACTTAATGCAGTCCAGGCAGTGCGAATGAGGTGACTAAGATCTTTACCTAAGCTCTAAGATACACTGCCCACAGTGGGCTGGAAATGCGCCCCCTTGTGGGCACCCTGCATACTGCAACTGGCCATTGCACAACAGCCATTGGCTGGCGCTGCTTCTGAGATCCTGATTGGCTGCCCAGCCTTGGCTGCTCTCACCATGGGGTCCCTCACCTGTGGCCGTGGTCAGCCTACTGCTGCCTTGCCCTTGACATGGCCCTTTTTGGCAGCCTGAGAAACTGGGAAAAGCTGAGACCAGAAGGAAGAACATGGAAGTTCCACTCCAGGTCTCCTGGCAAACACAGCAAGTCTCATTCCTCACCTACAAACAAGGAATAATGACACATTCTCCCGCACTGGGAGCTGTTCTTGAAAAAGGATTAAAAACTACACAGACTAAGGCATTGCTACTAACTTGGTACAGTGTCCCTCATTGGTGAAGAGTGGCCAATGGGACGGGATGGAGCAGAAAACGTCAGGCTGCACCTGCTTCCAGTTAACAGAGGAAGAAGGGTGCTTAAAATTGAGGATAGGGCCCATGCAATAAGTAGCAGCAGAGGAGTATTACAGGGTAAATACTTGGCACACAGTCTCTGAGTTTCACGAAATAAAATGCCAAAACCAAATAACACCCAACGACAATTCTCAGATCCAAGAGTGGCTCCTCCGAAAACAGAAGCATTGACCAGGTGGACATCAGGATTTCCTTGCAAAGGTCAAGTGGAAGATGGAGGAAGAGGAGCCAGTAGCAGAAACGGTGGCAAGGCACCCACGGATTCCAGTTTTTGAACTGTAAGCAACACATCCCAGCACAGCGGAGCAATCCAAGGACACACATCTCAGCTGAACATTTATTGTACTTGTCAGTGCCTGCAGCTTCTGCCCGAGTGAAGTCCAAGTACACTTAGCCGCTTAGATACAAACTGCTCAGACTTAGAGCAAATCATTTAAAAATGACTGCTTCTTCAATGTCCCTTAACTGGAGTCGTTTCCACAACTGGCTCATGGTTTCCTTCCTACCTACAGCTCTCAGAAACCTCCGTGAGTCATGGGTATGTGCTGTGCAAACAGAGACACCGGAGGGAGAACCTAGGATGTCTGTGCCTCTCAGGAGCTCGTATTTGGGAATTTTGCAGTCATTTTTCTTGTACTTTCCTATTTCCATCTCTCCCTCCCGCTCCCCCAGAATTTCCATCCTCTTTCCCTCTTTTGTCATGTTTTCCTCTGGATGCCATTTTTCCATTCCTCACCTCCAAGTCTTACCCACCAATTCTTACTTCATATCTCCTCTTGTCTTTTCCTGACATTTTGTTCTATTTATTACATCATTTGAGAGGATTATTTATTATCCAAACAGGGAATAATAGAAAGATTTCTAGCTATATGGGGGAAACTAACACCAAATCGGGGCTATTTTAGGGAGAAGAGGATATAGAGTTATGCATGCAGTGAAGAACAGGCAAAGCGGCACGACTCTGAACAAGTCAACTGCTTCCCGGTCAAGTTTCTATCAGCCAGTGGAGATAGTGGATGTCAAAGGTCAAAGTCTTCCACCAGTTGTTATACTTTTTTTTTTTTTTCCTAACTAGGGATATCAGACCCTCAAATGTACCGATATTGCATTTTAAGACTATGTTACTCAGCAAAAAAAATAGTTGAGGGTTTTGTAAGGGATGGCATCAGCAATGCTTGTTTAGGGACCAAGTCAGTTCATTGCTATTTTGGTGGCTCTTTGCTGTCTCTTTCTTGGAGAACATGGACAGGGTTTGGGACAAATTCAGCAATAATTCACTCCTCCAAAGTGCATTTGCTTCTGCGTCTCAGTGGCCCAACTAAAATGGTTGCATTTGAAATATGGCCTTGATTTCTCCAAAACCAGCTTTTTGAATGGCTTCTGCAATGGTTTTGTTTACTGGCTTTCTAAGACAAAAAACTCACATCTGAATAAATATGCAAGTTGTATCTGGCATTTCTTATGTTCGTCTCCAGCTTTTTATTGCAGATCTATGATAGGCAGTAGTAGTACACATACTAGGAGTCATCAACAGAAAATGCATGAGAAAAC